TCGAATGTTCATGAACCCTAATAAAATAAATCAGTTATGCATTCTTGCCACCCATAAGAGATGGTATATTATATTAGCCATAGCTGGTATATTAGCCATATTGTCATCCAGTCGGCCAGCGTCCTCTGTAGTGTATACGAAAATGAGCTCTTTCTAATGTAAATGGTTTTTACACATAATTTCGTATTTTTGTCAAAATAATTTCAAAATGGATATTGAGCCTAGTTTTGTTAAAGCTGACTCCGACAACTTACCAAGATTCGATTTTGAAATGATCGATGAATTTTATTTGAAAAATTTGCAATACTTTGGTACCGAAATGTAGAATGAAAAATTGAAACGGTAGGTGGAATATTTAGTAGGTCCCTTTCATTTATATGCCATTCATTTCAGACTTTGTCTTTTATCGAGGGATGGAAAGTTTTGATTTAATTTTTATTTTAGTTCGGCCAAGGTAGTAATGGTAAAATTCAATCCAAAAATAACCTGAAAAAATATTTTTCGGAATGTAAACTAATGACACGGAATATGCAGCAAAATAGGCACCCGCCGAGACCTACCTTTCACAAAAAAAAGTTCTTTAATTAGATAATTGTGACAGTTGTTTTCACATCGAGTTGACAACAATAACAACAAAAATGGCGTCTCTTAAATTGGATCATTATATCAGTGATTGGATATTAAAAACCAATACACGTGGCAACTCCGCTCTAGACATGATGCATTTTATTTGTCAACAGACACGCGGCCAATTGAAATTCTTGCATTTTGAATTGTTCTTTTTTCTGTAAATATAAAGAGATCATGAGACCGATTAGGCTTGATAAGTATAATATACTCCTAACTCGATCAATCTATAAGCAAACCAGCATCATTTTCCATAGCATGAAACAAGCTCATTTACCTAATCCAGGTCCTGGTATCAGCATACCAAACTGCCTGAGTCATCATGAACGTGTTTTATGCAGTAGTAATATCCGGTCAAGTAATATCAAGATTGATCAGAATGCATAAAACTATGTAGAAGATAACCACTTGCGTCAGCGAAACGTCATGGAAAAACTCAAAAAACAATTGCTTCCAAAGCCGAAAAATAGTAATACCAACCACTTTATATTTTCAAAAATTCACAATTCTTTATGAAAGGTGATATAAATACGTACTCAAAGTAAATTTTAAAATCAATAAAAGATTCAAATATGGACCGGTGCTGTCTGTTCTAGAACCAGGTTCGAACGATCGATTGCAAACAAAATTGAAACATATTGTATATCTTCTTTCGGAAAACTCGAGAAAAAACGGATTCTTGTCAATATCAAGATAATGAATATTGTATAGGAACATTGGCTTTCACAGTCGGACTCGCATTAGATAAGGAAAAAACTTATGCTGGATGGAACTTGATGCATATTGTTTCATCAGCGTTCAGACCCAATCAGCCCCAGAACTATTTCCACACAAATTTACTTTTTATTCTTCGTGAAAATTATTTTTTATATTTATGCTGCCCAGAACAATACTCTGCGATACGCATATGGTATTGCTTAACGGATCACCAAATGAATTATTCATCTGAACTACTATATGACTTGTTTTTTGATCGTTAAATAATTTATGAATTTATATATATCCCACTCCAACGTTTGTGTGATGTTACGTAATGCTAGATATGGAATAATATCTTGATCAACTGAACAAAAATTATCTCTCAATGAAAAAATTCTGAATATTTAGTAAACCAGTTCAAAAACTGCTTCTTCTAGCTCCTATAGGTTGTTCAAGTTTTTCTACCAAATCAGCTTACGAGTTGAACTATATCCATCCAATAGATAAAGTAACCTAGCGTGTTCAAAGTATGATCATCATGCACATTTACATCTATTTAAATCTGTTAAAAATATGTTTTTCCGTTAACCAGCTGTCGCAGCCCTACGAATGACAACCCTCAGAAGATGAAACTTGTGCGAACTAAGGATTAACGAGGTCTTACCTTTCAATGTGTGATTCCTAACAGGGGTTGGACGATAGCAAGTGAAAATCGATCGTTCAGACTGGGGTTTGAACCACCGACCAACACGGCAGTCAATTCGAGTGAGTGAACAAAGCACCCANTGGAAATTATTAATTTAAATGACGCCTGTAATAGTGAAACGGAGAATATGGAAGAGGAATTATCAGAAGCTTTCGAAGAAAGTTAGTGCAGTGTTTTTGAAGCGATGGATTATATATTATATATACGTGAGTAATTAGTTAGGTTAGGTTGGGTCAAAAGGGAGTGGGTCTATTCGACCCTCCACCGCAACCCGCAAGGGTTTATTGTGATGCACACCTATTCAAGTGAGAGTAAGTAGTATTCAGAAGTATTCTCAATCATCACTGTGTTATTTGAATCCTTACTTTCCCACTCATCTGTATAAACGGATCATTTTTTATTATGATTCTTATATATTCAGAAATGATTATTGAATAACAAAATTAGTTAGCTCCCTAACTATTTTATAAAAGGGGAACTGCTGGAAGGTAAGGGGCACTATATCGTTTACAGAAACTGCTAATTTGTGTTCCCTACACTTCACCCAAAAATAGTCCTATACCCAGCAGCATATTATTGAAAAAAAATTAAATAAAATTTCGGTCGTTCCTTAGTGCGACTCTGTTCAGGCAGCCTTGTCTGGGAGATCACGTACATTATGCATGATAATAGTTTGGTTGCTGAGATGGACAGAGTATAGAAATTATTCGCAAAATTTTTCTTTTTTCAATTCCAGCACATAAAAAACAATACAGTCAAAGATTGTTTTCAGAAATTTATGAACAGAAGTAACAGAAATGATTCCAACTACAATATGTTCAGTTTATATTTCAAATTCGTTATAATTTTTTTCAAAATTTATTTTTATTTTAGTTTCTACCAATAACCTTGGTTGTATTACGACTTGGTTTTGAAAATGGTTTTCTTGGAAAGATTATTGCAGGAATGAATATAATAACTAATTTTGAGTTTATTGCATTCTAATTTTAAGTTGTTATTTTTTCGTTAACCAGCTGTCGCTCACTTATGAACCACAACCATCGGAAGTCAAAACTTGTGCCAGATTGACAAGGTCTTGCCTCTTGACATGCAATTTCTAATACAGAAACAGGTGATATTGATAATTTTTTTGGACTCCTTTCACAACTTTGTATTTGTGTTGTTATATCTAGATCTAGGAACATCTGTAAACAAAAATTTACTTCGTTCTTTTGTTATTTTTTCAAATTTTGTACTATTTTAAGTAAGCTTTGTAACCATATCTATCTACAAAATGAATATATTAGCATACTATCTCTCTCAATCTATTATTTGATTTCTATGCTATGGGTGATTCAGGAAGTCGACAGATTTTTAGAAATAATTTACCAAGAGAATGAAACATTTCTCCTAGACTTCAAATAGTATGAAGATGGTACGAAAAGTGTTTTTGAACAGAATCGAAACATTAATTTCCAACACCTCAAGGTGCGTATTCACCAAAAAAGCGAGCAATAGGAGCATGAGCGAGCATTCATGTTTGCTCGTGTTCGCTCGTGTTTGCTCGACATATTGATGTTTCGTCCACACCAGAGCGAATATCTTCAAGTTCTTCTGGATCTTTTCTGAAGCATACGTTCGCTCGCTCGCTAGCCCGTACTCATCAGAGGATTATTGATGCAGAATGCTCGTTCACTCTTGTTCGCTCTTGTTCGTTTGTGCTCGCTTTTTTGGTAAATACGCACCTTTACAAGTGAAAAATTGATGTTTATGCCAAAGGGTGTTTATTGTGAGTTGCCCAAAAATTGAAAAATTGAAACCAGAAATACAACTCATTTTACAACTTGTTTTGGTGATTCCAAATATTGAAATTTATAAATTCTTCTTATTGCTTTGTTTTCAGTTTTATGTGTATAAATGATATACGCGCTAGGAACGACATGTTCAAGGATGAAACCCAATCATTTTTAGTTCGCACTAATGTAGACTTCTGAAGGTGCGTATTCATCAAAAAAGCGAGCACGAGCGAGCATGAGCGAGCATTCGTGTATGTTTGCTCGTGTTCGCTTGTGTTTGCTCGATATATTGATGTCTCGTCCACACCAGAGCGAATATCTTCAAGTTCGTAGTCGTAGTTGATCCATCTACTTTGTGCGAGCACCTTTTGATGTACCGTCTTCTTCTCGATCTTTTCTGAACGCGAACAAGCATACGTTCGCTCGCTCGCTAGCCCGTACTCACCAGACGATTGTAGATGCAGAATGCTCGTTCACTCTTGTTCGCTCATGCTCGTTTTTTTAGTGAATACACACCTTGAGGATCGTGAACGGTAAAAGGGAGAAAGCTGATGAACAGAAAAAAACAACACAAACATTTTCTGTTCCGGAAATATTTTTCAATTTTTTTTTATTTTAGGGTTCAAAATAAGAGAAATCAATATTGAATGTTGATTGAGTTGTTTGAATTTCATTTCCTCGCCGAATTTGAATACCGTAGCCTCTAGGGTGGAGCGATGGCAATTAGGAAGATGATATTTGAAATCAATTCTCCATATTAAATCAAACACTGAATCATCAATGTTATTAACCAAGTATCGTATATGGACTGCAGTGGTGCAGTGCGAACAAACTATATTGGAAACATTATTTATACAGTCTAATTATATTCAAATATTTGAAGTAATTCTTGAGCAACATATGTGATACACAATATAAAGTAAACGACAACGCTAGGACAATGGGTCATTCCTATAAATACTTTTACTTCCATGAATGTGTGAGGTGTAGTTTTTGAAAAAAAATTTGTAATATTGAAATCAAGTGGGGATATTATTGGAAGGAATGTTGTTGGTAATATAAGTAAAGTTTAAAATGAGTTGCCTTAAACACTGTTACGCCACTGTGTAATTGTCTAATTGTCAAGGGATATCTACCTACCTTAGGGAACCAATAGCGTGTTCTATGTGTAGAAATAGATACTCAAAGTATACCTGCTTTGATGCACAATCTAGCTTCTTCCGCTTGATAACACAACCCAGCACTATTTCGATGCAAAAAAGGCCCTGGAGATTGGGGTAGAGGAAACTCCTTTTCTCCGTTAGGTGTTACCAACTGGGTGGGGCACCAGAATAGAGGCAAACGAAGAGTACCTTTGGTTCCTACGATAATTCCCTCATTGGGAAGAGCAATTCTTGCTGAAGTGCTAACGACGGCCATTTTGCCTCCTGGATATGTTATGACAGCCCCACAAGATTCGTCTGTACCGCATCTGTTCAAATGACCATTCACAGATATTTTGATTGGCTTCAGTCCTCTAAAAACGAATTGTTGAAACTGAAGGATGTACACCCCCAAATCTAAAATTGCACCTCCACCCAGTTCTTTTGATCTGAAAAAATAAAAAACTTTCTGAAGGAAAAAGTTTGGTTCAAAATTGGTTGGAAAAACATTCTCTCAAGGATCGTCAGCTATTACAGTAGAGTGGAAATTGAAAAACAGTCCCAATGGGTCTAGATCCTTTTGGTCGGTAGCTAAAGCTGTTAATCCAAACTTTACAAAATCCACAATTCCACCACTAACACAAGCGGATGGTTCAGTTGCAACAACAGCTATAAAACAAGCAAATCTACTAGCTGAACAATTTGCATCCCACTCTACACTCGATTTTTTGGGAAAGGACCACTAACTATTCCTACACTAGAATTCACAATGCCGAAAATCACTTTTCGATAGCGTCTAGTCATGCGAATTCTGAAACAGCTCAATATTAACAAGGCGTCTGGTCCTGATGAAGTGCCCGTCATCGTACTCAAAAAATGCGCAAATGATAGATAGATAGATAAATAGATTCATTAGTCGTTTGTGCTACATTATGTAGATGGGACAGGTCACATTTCTCAGGTATAATATAAATGTATAACATTATAAGATGTCATTTGAATAAAAAATAATGTGACACACATTGTAAAACAAACATATACATATTGAAATATCAGTAAAACATAGAAATAGATAAATGAACAAAATGTTACGATATATACGTCACAATGACATTGATCTGACATTATCAACTTCAAGTATAAATTCATCTACTGTGTAGAAACCTTTTTCTGATAGAAACACATTCAACTGTTTTTTAAAAACTTGAGTTGGCAATGTCTTCATATCGCATGGCAGTATATTAAAGAGACGGATACCAGCAAAGACAGGAGACTTTTTATACTTTGCGTGATGGTGTTTTTGGGTGATGGTCATATGGTTATTCCTAGTATGATAATTATGGACTTCCGATCTCGACTCTAGTTGTCTTCTATTTTCATTGATATACGTCAATGTTTTTGGAATGAACAATCAGGCAACAGTTAGTATTTTATTTTGATGAAAGATCTCTTTACATGACGTTCTGTAATCTAGATTGAAAATTAGCCTCAGTAATGCTTCTGTTTTATGAAAATTCGGTCCACCTCAGTTGCTAAACCCCAGACATTATTATTGTTGTGAATAATGGGGATTGGAACTTAACGAAATGAACTAATATCGGTGCCTTATTATCTAATTTATTCTTAAGGGATTTAATGAGATAATACGATTGCCTCAATTTCTTGGATATGAACTCTATATGTTCTTGCCAAGTGAAATGTGAGTCCATTATTGTTCCTGAGAATTTTGTTGAGCTTGTTAATGCCAAGGATTCATTTCGGAAAATGAAATTTAAATCATGTAGGCTTCGAGATGAATTTGCAAATTCCATGCAGACAGTTTTTCTCAGGTTAACTATAAGTATATTCCTTCAACACCAGTCATCAAATTCGTGTAGGTCTGGGTTTACAAGGTTATGCATTACTTCCGTTGTTTAACTTGAAAGAATAATGGAAGTGTCGTCTGCGTAAAGGTATATCGCACCATTACTTATATTATTAGGTAGATCATTCACATATAATAAAAAAATTAGTGGACCGAGTACACTGCCTTGAGGTGTCCCATTTGTTACAAGGAATTTATCGGACATTATATCATTCTGTT